AAATTTAGTAAACTGAAATATGAAGTATTCACAGAACTGCTGAAATATGAAATAAGCAGAGAGAAATTAAATGGGGTGGAAATATGTGACAGAACTGTCTAGTCTGTTTTGCTTTCTATTTACAGCAATGTGCAATAGACTATTCCAAAAATCCAGGCTTTTAAATCTGTGTTATACCCAGTTATTGAAGTTAGTGACCATTTCTGTAGCTCCTTTCTCCATTCTCTCCAGTGGGGCTTAGTGGGATATTTAGTATCTCCATCCCTCCAGTGGGGCAGGGAGCAGAGGTACCTTGGGAAGCATGTATGTGAAAGTTTGTACAACCATTGTCTGTACTAGGCCTACCCTTTTCCTGAATAATGCTGGGAAGTGTACATTGCCTCTGGTGTTCTCTGGCCTGTACCTTTTGTAAGCTCTTACTAAGCAAAAACAAGAGCAACAACAAAAAAAACCAAAACAAAAAAAAAAAACACAGTGAATAGCGTAGCAGTAATCTTAGGTAAAGTAATTATATATTCTTGGGCTAAAAAAAGGTTTCCTTTGTTACTCCCTGGCTTGAAATTGTACTGTAGTGTATGGTACCAACAGTTTGTGAGCTCTTGCCCTGGTGTACAGACCTATAATCATGTCACCGTTTGGTTTGTTTGCCTCACTCACGCTGTGCTCACTGTTTGTTTTACCATAATATTTGCGGCTGCTTTCCTGCTTGGTGGCACATCATTCTGTCTCTGAGCTTGGCTTGCCAGGCAGGCGCTGGCCAGCTGCCCTGTGGATCACGCTGTTGTTTTGTTGAACCCAGGCCACTCTCTCTTTCCTGTAGCACTTCTTAGAGAGAAAGCAGAAAATGCGTGGCAGTTTTGGAAAATGATGGATAATTTACCTTGCTTTGGCTTTCTGAAGGGAAGAAAATCCAGTTGCACTGATCTGGTATGTTATGATAGCGGTGGTGTGACAGGTTTTTTTCTGTGCAGATGAACATATGGGTAATACATTTTTTATTGGATTAAGCGGTGCAGTTACAGAAGCTTGTAGAAGAGCCAGAATAACAAAAGATCATCCTGCTAGCATGTCCATTTTATCAAGTAGTTCAGTCAGTGTGAGTTTAGGGGTCCCTTTAATGCCTGAGGAGTTTTAAAAGCTGAGTTTCAGCTTGCAGTATTGCAGTGGACAGCAGGTAGCTCTCAATTTCTCCTCTTCCTCAGTTACTGGACTGCTAAGGTTTGTGCAAGTTTTCATTGAAGCAGTTGCTTGGAGGAGTTACTTTGAAGTCCAGGGATGGGAGAACTGAAAAGGTTTTGTTCCACCACCTGGTCAGCATCTGAAAGACTGCAGCTGAAGTATGGCTTTCCCAGGCTTCCTCATAATGAGTCTTTTGAAGCATGGCCTTTCTGAAGGGATTTATTGGTTAATTTACGTTTAAACTTAATTTCAAAGTCTACAATTAGACAGAATTCACAATCATTTTACAGACCTAGTGATAGAGCAGCATTTCCACATTAATTTTCCAAGATTAGTTTTACCTTGTATGTGGTAGTTGTTTTGAACCTCCAAGGCTAACACATAGGTTGTTTTATGGTTGTGTTATGCAACAAAAATGGGAAATACCCCCAAACTGTCAACGATTTTTTTTTTTTTTTCCTAGTAATAGTGTTATTTCTACCATCACTTCTAAATTATATTGGGGTTTATTCTATGCCCTGTCCTGGAAGCTTTGTTTCCTTTGTCAGTATCTTCTGCCTGGTCCTTTCTTGTGTATTATAAGAAACCAGCTTGTTTTTTAATGAAAAAGCAGCACAATGATGTCATCACCATATAAATTTACCTGCCAGACTTCTCAATCAATACTTAACTATGTTGGCTGTTACCTTGTCAAGGTTTCACAAGTGTATGTCTGTGGAGGGGAGGCTTTCTGGCTTTCATCCTCTGCTCTCTGTCTTTAAGATCAGTGATGGAAAGTCTGGACCCTATAATAATAATCATTTCTGGCATATATTTATCAAGTATCATTACTTCAAATCTCTCATACTGTTCTGGTTTTGACCTCACCCCATCTGACAGCTCTGGAAAAAATGCCTGCTTCCTAAGTAAAACATTGCAAGAAGGATGGTTTCCAGCAATCATGTTTGAGTTAAAGATCTTTTACCCACTGTGAGTAACCACACTGTCCCATGAACACCTGGTAAGAATTTCATCAGCACTTGCATAGGTGGTTGCTCACAGCTGAACTTTGTTTCACCCATGATTGGAAAGGGCAAGCCAAACTTGAATGCTGCTTTACTGTCTTTGCCAAAGGAGAGCGTTCTTGTACCTTAAATTTTCATGGGCCCTCATTTTTAACTTTTGAATATGTGGAATCTCCAATTTTATAGACATGTAAATGAATGTTGTCTTTGGTCAAGGTGAGGGAATGAGCTGGTATGAGTGTGCCTGAGGGGTTGTGAATGAAAAACAGGCGAGAGAGCTTCCAATCCAGACATCTGCTTGCCTTTTTGCAAATTACTTTCTGCAGACTTTCATTTAATTATGCAGGATAAGTCTATTTCACACAGTGCAGATTTAACTTCGGCTTCTTTGAAACAATACGGCAAGGATCAGTGAGGACATGCTGCTGTACTGTATGCTTGGTGGCCTGAAGTGCACCAACTTCATAGTCAGAAGTATTTTACTTTGAGGAAGAAAAAAAAGAAATTTGTTTTGTTCCACAGCTTTTCTAATAGATGGCAAGGACATGGTGAAATTGTGTCAGAAAAGTTCATTTAGATTTTCTTGGGAAAGGATCGATTAAAATGCAAAAAAAAAATAAAACATTTTAGAGCAGCAGCTTGATAAATTTTCAGAATGTCTTTCTGCCTCAAATTTCATTCTAAATTACTCATTTCTTTCACACTGGTTGATGAGAAGCTCAACATGACCCCGGCAAATCTCCATGGAGACCTTATGTCATCCTTCCAATACCTAAAGGGGCCTACAAGAAATCCAGAGAGGGACTTTTCATAAGGGCATGGAGTGACAGGACAAGGGGGAATGGTTTTAAACTGAAAGAGGGTTGATTTAGACATTAGGAAGAAATTCTTTACTGTGAGTGTAGTGAGACACTCACACAGGCTTCCCAGACAAGCTGTGGCTGCCCCATCCCTGGCAGTGTTCAAGGCCAGGTTAGATGGAGCTCTGAGCAACCTGGTCCAGTGGAAGGTGTCCTTGCCCATGACAGGCGGTTGGGACTAGATGATCTTTAAGGGCCCTTCCAACCCAAACCATTCTATGATTCTATGATATGAACCTTGCAAAGAAATGAAAACTTGGAATGACAAAATTTAGTTTCCGCCTACTTTGATTTTAAGAAAATCAGTTATCCATGTCAGTTTGCAGTTCATAAAAGTCTTACCATTGTCTTTTTCCAAAATTCTTTGACTTGCTCCAGATTGTCAATCTTTTAATGGTGAACAGAGTTAAATTTAACTGTGTGATTTCCCACAGCAATATGTATTGTTGTTATTGTCATGTTGTTATTATTTTTGCATCCTGTGATTAACAAATTAAAAGTGGATTGAATGAGATTAAAATAAGGCAGTATCATTGTAACCTTGTCTTCCTATTAATAAAGGGAAAAATTGATATCTCATTTATGCTAGATATCAAAATATGGGGGGCTTGTGTTAGCTATTGTGCATGAGCTAAGGGAATGCATTGTTGGTTTGTATATTGCATATGTCAAAAAAACTGCACCATTTAAGACCATGTTGTGTTTTACGGCTTGCTAGCAAAACCAAGTACAGGTCAAGGGAATACTGGATTTAGAAATTAATTAAAGAATCAAAACCTTCTGTTTTGGGTAAATGTTTTGTGTAACACCAGTGCATTGTGGTGCTCATTGTTACCTCATACCATAACATATTGACTCTGGAAGGATTCATACTTGGAAAACAAAGATATCTCTTTGACAGCATATTTTGTTCAATATTTACTGCTGGTGATGGATTTCTTCATCAGAATTCTTGTTTCTTGATGCTATAATTGATTTATTGCAATGAATCTAGTCAGCTGACCACAAAGTTAATGAAATAAGGGAAATGCAAATTCCTATTCTGAGCATGTCTTAATTTTAATAATACTTGGGGAAAAAAAAATGAAGCTTAATTATGAATCCCTTTCATGTTTTTTCCTCTTTTCCTAGTGTGTATAGTGATTGCTTTGACATACATCTGCCAAGTATTTTTTTCCGAATCTAGAGACCATATTTTCAAAGGAAATTTTAACATGTGTTGCCCCAAAGATATTTTGAAGTCATTAGATGTACAAAATCCAAGTATAAAAATGTGCATGAGAAATGAATATTGGCATGTGCCAAAAGTACTAATGAGAGCTTTTAGTACCTTTATCAGGTAGATGGAAATGAAAAGATCTTTGCCGCCTCACAGGCTAGAGTAGCTTGACACAGTGAAACAATGCTGGCTTGTATCTTTAAAGAAAGACAGAACCGTATTTATTGTTGTTTGTCATTAGCAGCTGGTGGAGGCAGCAGAGGCTGGGGCAGTGTTTTGCTAGTGCCAGGGTAGCACTGGGGGCCACCACTGATTCAAACTTGAGAGGATATGTGGCTGCATATGTCTGGCATTTAGTTTGCAAAGGCTCCAGAATAGTAAGCTGTTGAGATGTAGAGTTCAGGGAAGACCTGTCAGGGAGTGTTTTAATGAAGAGTTACAGTTAGGGAGCATTTTAATACTACTGTGGGTTCATATTCTCTAGGATTTTGGTTCTTCTGTGATTGAATGTTTTTAAGGAAATTGTATGTGATTACTAGAATGGGCTCACATAAACCACAGCCGTAAGCTGAGTACTGTCATGTACACATTTGACTTGGAATGTGTCACAAATAGCATGGCTTTTAAAGACATCTTTCAAAGTGCTAAAGGTACTTTATGTGTGAGTGTGAGGACAGGTAGCTATTTACTTTCTTCACCTGTTCACTTGATTTTCATTTGTTTTTTTCCCTGCTGCAGACTATGTCAGAGAGCCACAATGATCATGCAAAATAACAGTTCAGCTTTGCCCCTGTTTTCAAATGTAAGCTCCTTCTGGAAGAGAGATTCATATGGACCAGGACTTCTTGATGAAGCAGCATCACTGATTGGCAGCTATGATTTCCCTCAGACCACAGAGAGTTTTCCCCTCCCCACTGTGGAATCAGCAAACGTGTCTTTAAATGCCACAAGCAAAGACCCTCTGGGTGGACACACAGTCTGGCAAGTCGTTTTGATTGCTTTCCTCACTGGGATCCTTGCACTGGTGACCATCATAGGGAACATCCTAGTGATTGTTGCATTTAAAGTTAACAAACAACTGAAAACAGTAAACAACTACTTCTTATTGAGTCTTGCCTGTGCAGATCTGATCATCGGTGTTATTTCTATGAATCTTTTCACCACATACATCATCATGGACCACTGGGCTTTGGGAAACTTGGCCTGTGATCTTTGGCTCTCTATTGACTATGTTGCCAGTAATGCCTCTGTCATGAATCTTCTTGTCATCAGTTTTGACAGGTATTTTTCCATCACTAGGCCACTTACATACAGAGCCAAACGAACAACCAAAAGGGCTGGGGTAATGATTGGTTTAGCTTGGATCGTCTCTTTTGTTCTTTGGGCCCCTGCCATCTTGTTCTGGCAGTATTTTGTTGGGGAGAGGACTGTGCCTCCTGATGAGTGTTTCATACAGTTTCTCAGTGAACCTGTCATCACTTTTGGCACTGCCATAGCTGCCTTTTACTTGCCAGTCACCATTATGAGTATTTTATATTGGAGGATCTACAAGGAGACCGAGAAACGCACCAAAGAGTTAGCAGGGCTACAGGCTTCAGGCAGTGAAGTGGAGGCAGCACGCTTCGTACACCAGACAGGCAGCTCCCGCAGCTGCAGCAGCTATGAGCTGCAACGACAGAGTATGAAACGCTCCACCCGAAGGAAATACGGGCGCTGCCACTTCTGGCTCACAATGAAAAGCTGGGAACCCAACACAGACCAGGGGGATCAAGATCACAGCAGCAGTGACAGCTGGAACAACAATGATGCTGCTGCTTCCCTTGAAAATTCAGCCTCCTCTGACGAAGAAGACATCACTGCAGAGACCAGAGCCATCTATTCAATCGTGCTGAAGCTTCCTGGTCACAGCGCCATCCTCAATTCTACAAAACTCCCCTCCTCAGAAGATTTGCATGAGTCAGGGGATGAACTGCAGAAATCTGACACCGAATTGAAGGAAAAGAAACCTAAAAAATTGCACCCTCCCAAAAGTGTTCAGGATGGTGGGAATTTCCAGAAGAGCTTTTCTAAGCTTCCAATTCAGCCAGGGTCAGCAGAGACAACCACAGCTTCTGATGGCATCTCATCAGTGACCAAGGCATCTGCAGCCCTGCCCTTGTCCTTCAAGGAAGCAACCCTGGCAAAAAAGTTTGCCTTGAAGACCAGAAGTCAGATCACAAAGCGAAAACGAATGTCACTTATCAAAGAAAAGAAAGCAGCACAAACACTTAGTGCCATTTTGTTTGCCTTCATCATTACCTGGACCCCATATAACATCATGGTTCTGGTGAACACATTTTGCAGCTGTATCCCCAAAACTTTCTGGAACCTGGGGTACTGGCTTTGCTACATCAATAGTACAGTGAACCCCATGTGCTATGCACTGTGTAACAAAACATTCAGAAACACTTTCAAGATGCTACTGCTGTGCCAGTGTGACAAACGGAAACGACGCAAACAGCAGTATCAGCAGAGGCAGTCAGTCATTTTTCATAAGCGGATCCCCAGGGAGGCTTCATAGAGTAGTATTTTTTAAGCAACTGAAAAAATAATGAAATGGGAATGGGATGGGACAGGATGGGATAGGATGGGACAGGATGGGACAGGATGGAATGGGACGGGATAAAAAGGGAAGGGATGGGATGGGCTACGATGAGTTGGGGTGTGAAGGCGGTTCCAGGGTGCTTATTTAAACATTTAAGCATCAAGATGTGAAAGCAGCTGCCAGGCCTACGTATCCTTTTAATAAATCCAGTTTAATATAAAAAGTCAAGTATGCATTGAGCAAAAACTAACAAGCTTCAACGTTTTTACTAAGGAATGAAAGACTTAATAAAGTTTTCCTACAAATTTGCAAGAAGCTGTATAACAATTGTAAACCCATTACCGATCTGCCCAGCTTTTTGATTATAGTCGACTCTGGGATCTCAGGTAAGCACATCTAGCTAGCCCAACTCTTCTGTTTCCAAGGAATCCAACAACTTACAATTCAAGACACATACAGATGTAGCAAGCTAGCGAAATAGGATTATGTAATTATTTGAGACACTGTATAGGTTGCAAAATTGCTTCTTGTTGTCCAGGTAGAGTTTCCTGTCTACTTCTGGTGTATTGTTAATTGTACCCCTGATTCCTGATTGCCGAGTATCTATGTGTGCAGCTCATGTTATATATATGTGTGTGAGTGTGTTTGTATGTATAGCATACATTCACACCTCTAAAATACACACATACCAGGAAAGAGGTAATCTACTGGTTTAGGTTTTACAGGGCTCCCCATCACAATTACATGACTGAAATAAACACCACCCCCCCCCCCCCGAAAGTCATATTATAAATATATATGTAATATGCTACCTGAAATTCAAATTTATCTTTAAAACCAAAACATAGTGTCACATTTCAAATGGAGAGAACCGAGCCCTGTGGAACCTAATGGTCTATAGAGTTTCATAATGGGGCATCTGCCCAGTAAAACCTTAATCTTGAGCCCAGTATCTCTCCCCAAAGTGATCACACCTCTTTAGAAGATACAAGGTGAAAGGAATTGAAGGTTACATTCAGGGCAGAATGTGAAGTTATCTTCACGGGGTGTGGGATGGTGGGAGCCCACATCTGGGTTGCACGGTGCTAGTGTGCAAAGGGACTCGCTCAGGACCCAGGCGGGTGCAGCCAGTAGCAGGACCGCTGTTTTCTGGTGGGGCGGCTTTGCTGCTGTCAGAGCATGCACGGATGCTGAAACACCTTGTCCTGACTTGCACCATGTGGATGTACCACTGTTTTCAGAGCCAGCTGAGATCCAGTGCACAGCACCTGTATGGCTTCCAGTGAAAGTTCAGGTTGTAATTTTCTATCTGAAGCTGGTGGAGCCCCCCCCCTCTCACTGTCTGCCCAGGTGATCTTCAGATGCAGAAGATTTGTGTGAAAGAAATGCTTTATTTTTGCACATGAAGGATGCTTGCTAAAAAGTGGGTTTTTTCCAGAACCTGTTTTAAAAATCATCAGGAGAACTGCACCTAAGTCCATTTAATGCCAGGTTATTTGGTGTTGTGAAAAACATGAATATTGCCAATTTGTAACCTGGCAATTTTTCATAAAGAAAATTTTACAAGGGCTTTAATATTTATAGCTTTGACATGACCAGTACTTCCTGGTATTTGTGATGTGGTCTGCACCAAATATGATTTATAAAAGTCGGAGATCCCCTGGGGAAAGGATTGTACTTTAAACTATTGTTCTAAATTTGATTTAGTTACATGTTGAAAGATAATTTTGTATTCTCCTTTGAATTGACCAAAACTTTTTTTATTGCTTAGACTCTTATTTTGCTGAAAATAAAACAAAACAAATACCTTCTTTTACAAAGGGGCATCAGTGTTGTGAACACAGAACTGATGTTAAAGCTGCTTTTGTATTCAGTGTGAGATGGTGTTTACAGATGAATTTGACAACAGTGGAAATATATTAAATGGTGTCTGTGTATCTGAACTATTTAATTTTGTGTTATGTTCATATGAAGAAATATTTATACATACTTCACCAAATGTTTTATTTAATGTTGATAAATATTGCTCTTCAGTCTTCAGCTGTAGTGTCCTTTTAAAGTGATTCATTAAGGTCTGCTTGAGAAATGAATAGAGTATACCTATCTTTCTTGTCACTAAAAAATACTCTTGACATACAAATCTTTCTTTTGTATGAGTTGTTTAAAATGTTTACCTAAAGTTTGTCTTGTAAATGATATCACAAGTCTACTGCAAGTACAAGTTTAATATAAAACACAAGAAAAAGTTAAAGCTTCATCTATAAGTCACAAGTGTGTTTTGAGCTAAAGATACCCAGAAATGTTTTACCAGTTTGGTAGCCAGATACAACCAAAGTCTTACAAGGAACCCATGTTGCAAAGACAATTAATGACCTTTATTTATAGAAAGAATCATGTATTTGAGATATATTCATTACTCAAGTTGACCTACCTAATGTTTTGACATTCAAATATATATATATCTCTCTATATATTGCCATATTATTATCTTCTGGTATCTAGAGTAGTGCTGTGCCCCTAATACACAAAATGTGAGAGCATGTAAGGAGGCAGAGTTCACCAGGGGGTTTTATGGTATATTAGTATTGATTTTACAATGGGAAACTAGTATTTTTAATGAAGTTAAGCTTCCTTGAAGCAGCTGTCACCACTGTTTACATAATAGGAAGAGTTAAACCCTTGGATTGTTTTAACAGAGAAATAAACAACCTGTCTTTTGATGTGTGAACAGGCTTTAAAATGTTATTTACAGGCATCTTAAAATGTGTATATATACACATATCGTAGCATAGATCAATTCAGTTATTATTTATTTAATGGAATATGCATTATAAAATATTAAGAATTTGGCTGTGTTACCAATGCAGTGGGGATCAAACTAATTTGTATTTTATGTTTAAACCCGCGCACACACAAAAATTTTAGCTATATGGGCAAGTAGATATATTATTTAGGAACACAGATGCACATGATAGGTGGTGGAAGAAGAGCAAGGTGAGACCAAGAAGTACAGTCTGACACAGCACTACTTTTAAGAAGTACAAATGATGTAATATTTCATCTGCTTCTAGGAAAATTAAGTCAGAAACATGATAGAAAGCATCATTCTGAGGGCAGATGAACAGTTCAGTCCAGTTAACACTCCTCACATGGAGACATGGCTTTTAAGAGACCAGGTACCATCCCCACTAATTGCAATAATGCACGATTAGACTCCATATGAAGAGGATCAAAAAATCAGAAGTGGTGTCCAGACAGGACCCATTGAGTTGTCGTAGGATAGACCCCAATCACTGTCAGCCTCTGAACAGCTCTGAGACAACAAAATGCATTACATGTGCTTGGCTTTCTCAGTATAAAATTGTTACAGAAGTTTATGACTTGAGTATCAGTATATGCTGTGAGGAATGTCTGATCCAAAGACCCAGGGACAGGTGTCATGGCGTATGAAGCACTTTGTCCTATCCCAGCAGAACACACTTCCTACAAATGTAAACTGCAGATCAATGTATTCTAAAGCTACACAAATACAGGAAGGGCCTGAGCAGTTCCCAGGATCTAAGCCTGTAGATCTATAGATCCTGAACAATAAATGACCTAAAGGAATCTGGCAGTTTTGTTAAGATACCAAGACAGATGTTCTGAGGCAGTTGGTGACCTTTCTCAATCATATACAACTTCATTTATGTTGTTGTCTTATTTCCTTACTTCTGCAAGAATATTCTAAAAAGTCTTGGCTCATTATCAACCTTGTAATATGAGAACTGAATACTTCTTGTACATACAAGAATAAGAAGTCCCAAAGTACACTCAGTTTGCCTCTACAGAATGCAAACATTGAGGCAAAAGGAAATTGTTCTTTTTTATTTTCCTGATCAGCAGCATCAGTAATTTTGGACATATGGTTATCATCATGCTACCATATATACAGGAAGGGTAGTCATAGGGTATCATGCTAAACTATTTATAAACTGCATTTCACTTGACCCCTTGGCCATCTGACTACTTATGCATCCCTATTCAAACTTATGTTTGAGATTTCAAGCCTTCATTCTCCTCAAAATGGCTCCCAGATACTTCTCATAAAAAGTGTTTTACAAGCTTGTCTTGATATCAGGCTTCTTCTTTCCTTCCAGAATACTCCTGTGCAAAGTTAATCTGCTCTTAGACTGTCAGAAGACACATTGCTAACTGCAGCAGTTCTAGTACTGAAGTCTGATACTTTCTTTTCTAAAGATGTATAAGACATAAAAAAAGAACTGGAGCGGGTTTCGCATGTTCCAGGTCCTTACTGGCAGAAATGATCTGTACCACAAGTTGTCTGTTCACCAGGCTTGACCTTCTCTGGGGGTTCTGGGGATGACCTGACCCTCAGGATGTCCTGGCAAGCCTCCACTAGTTTGAAGTTTGACCAGTTCATGAATCAATACGTGCTTTAATGCATTTCAAAATTTCTGAAAACATACATATTTATTGTGGTACCTGAATATTCTTTGACCCATGTAAATCTGCTCTCCCTTCTCACAACATGCTTCCAGCTTCTTTTATTTTTCTATTTTATATATTCCTTTCATGTTTTATGTATTTCCCTAAGCAAATACCACTGCACTTGCTTCTGGAAGTAGGTCAAAGGGATATATATTTGCAGATTGCTTCTTGTTAACCCAAAGGAATGTCTGGTGGAGCTGCCATGTTCATAATGATGGCTGCCTTTTCTGTTTCCTGAACTGGACTCCCATGATACCCAAGCACTTCTGTTTGGAAGCCTAGCTAAAGCATGTGTCACATTCAGATTTTCGTAGAACTAAAAACCTTATATAATTAGGATATTTCCTTCCTTGGGCATATATCATTGGCAGGTTCTGCACTTTTCTACTTCTACTTTTAGGAGATGCCAGACAGATATTGGGGAAAATATCAGTTGGTTATTTCTGATACTTTGGCATTTTTGTACTTCAGTTTTTTAAGGAGATGGAGTAGCTCATCCAGTCGTGCTATTTGTGGAAACAAGTTGAGTATGAATACGTGTGTTTGGAACTATGCATTATGTTCATTCCATTTCATACACCGTGGCACCACAGTTGGCTGGGGTTGACCATCACAGTATTTGAGGTCACTAACAGGCATTCAGTCTTAACTGGCAAACGCATTAGCTGTGCCACAGTGGTATTCAGGACTTTGGCTGCTTTTCACCACCCATGTTTTACATTCAAAATATAACATAGATTGTAATTTTTTATTTCCCCCCAAGAAAGATTGCTGTAGTTATTTCCAGATGCCTTCATTGATGTGCTTGAGGGTTTTTCTGCTTAATTTTAAATACTAAAATGGCTTGGAGGAGCTTCAGTTAGCCCTGACAGAGATCGTTTAATGGAAGGAGTACAGGTGACACAGGAAAACATTAAGTGCTACTTACTTCATGGCTTATTCCAACATGTGTCATGTAGTATGCATATTATACCTATACATCTTTATGCACTCTGTATATCTGAGAAGGATAACATGTAAGACATAGTATTGTGCATGTACATATAATACAGGGATGCACACACATCTAGAGCTATCTATACAGGTGTATATAAAGGCACCTGCTGAAATTATCAGCCATGGTAAATATTGCCTTTGAGACCTAATCAGTTTTAACTGACAGCAGAACTCTAAGTCTGCTCAACTTAGCTGCAAGAAGACTCTCCACGTCTTTCCTCAGTGCATGTTTTTCCAATTGCATTGTCTTTATTTCCAAATTTGTTGTTTTCAGTTCATTGCACTGGAGACATTACCCAAAATTTAGAAATGCATAAACAGATTTCACTTATTGAGCTATTGCATCAATACTGCACTAGTTTAACTCCATTAGCTTAACCAAAAGCCTCCCATTTGAAAAGAAAGGAAAAAATTATCATCCTCTCTCACCCTATCCTGTTGCTGTGTCCTTCCTGTTGCATGGAATGATTGATACTTTTCATGTGCCAGTCCCACAGGTGCAATTGTGCAAGCTTAAAAACCTTGTTTGCCAGTGGGACTGAGAAATGCATAGCGTGTCATTCACCCTTTACTGGTTTTGTATAAACAGTAAAAACCTCACTGAGTTTAACTGCTATGTATGATGCTGGCCTCAGGGAAGGTCTTCCAAAAAAGGTGATAAAACCATTCAGCTCGGCGTTGGTGAGGAGAGCTAGCTTTTTTCCAAGCTACTGAAGCTATACAATTTATTCAACTTGGCAGAAAGTGTGGAAAATACCCAAGACATTTAAAGTTTTATAGATGTGAACATCCGCCTTGCGTAAGGGTGAATACACACATGTAAACACTGCCCAAAAATGTTCAGCGTATGAATGAGTCTGTAAGCCAAAAGCATGCATCACCATCACTACTCTGTTGGCAAGAGCCTGACATCTCACTCAGGCCTCTATGAAGTTATCCTTCCTACAGCAGTCTAGGGCTACATAACTAGGCATTAATAAGAAAGCAGAATTAGTTTGTCTGTGCTTATATGCATTTTCCACGAATTTGATGGGAAATTCTTACTCTTCTCAGGACAAAGGTTACTTAGTGCAGTATCTGGGCTGACAAAGTATCTGCGATGCTCTGGTAATCATTACTTAACCATGGCTAATAGTCAGAAAAGCACAAGAACTTATTGTACAGAGAGAACTTAAATTTGTTTTTCAAATCATTCATAAAGGCATAAGTTAATTTACTTAAAATATTCATAAGATCTTAAAGCTTTAACACTATCCTGGAAATGTAGTTTCTGGACAAGAATCTGATTCCTTTTGTGGCTTTGAAATATCCAGTCTTCTTGAGACTATTTTTTTTTTTTCTGGATTGAAATCTTTGGGTGACAAAGCAACTGTAGTCACTCAAATGCTACCTAATCTAGAGATGTCAGAGGGATGAGGAAATGGCCTTCGTAGATTTGTGCTTAATGAATCCACTTTAA